GCAACAAGAGGTTTTATTAATTTGTCCTGAAAATTTGGACTTTACGACGTCATTCTTTATGCCAAAGTATAATTTTCTGAAGCAACAGCATGGTAAGAATATTACGAGAAAGGGGTTTATAGCTAAAACTGTACAATGGACAGATATTTACTTAAATGCATGCATAGTACTTTTTAAGGCCTGTCATCTAAATGGCCAATTTAATCCCTTCGAATATTGAAAAACTAGAAGAAAAGCTATGCTAATCAAGCATTTTGTGCACAGGTGAAGTCGACTTGCAAACGTACTTGCCACTTTGACAATTTGGGAAGGGCCAATGATTTATCAAACTCAAATTTGGTGCTCGAGGTGCAAATGGAAGATCTTGAGTACACAATTATTTGAATGTTTGCGACTGACTGACTGCGTACTGATTTTTAACTCTTTGGAATATTTTCACCGGGAATACCGCTTTGGCTATGGCAGTGTAAGAAAGGCGGTTACAGGTAATGGCACTTCAGCACGTGCATGTTATAGCCATTCTTGAAGGTAAGGGGGTTGATAGTCATCCATCTCCTTATCCACATATGTTTGTACGACCCATTTACTATTTTACTATTTGCTAATAGCAAAGTGGCAAAAATGAAAGCAATTTATCGTGCAGGCAAATGAGCCAAACGGGTTCTATTCCTGTTTGGGGCGATAATGCCACCGAAGCTCAGAGGGTAGCACAGAATGGTGCATTGACAATGAAGTCGGTCTAGTTATCGGGATTCCAAGCATTAATTTTAGCTCTCTCTCCTGCTTCACCTCCATATTGTGGCCGTGGTTGTCATCCATTTCCACACCTCGCTTTCTCCCTCTCCCCCTGCTTATCTAGTTTTGTCCCAAAGGCTAGGCATCACTTTACGTAAGGCTAAGTGCCAACAAATATAACATTTGGTGAATGTGAAGTGATTAACTTTGCATTAGCAAATTGAATCGAGGAGATAATTTAATGTGATGTCAATTCAGTTAGTGGTGGATGGCTCAGCAGTCATTCCCTTTATTCATCCTTCATTCCATTTTTTACTCATTCACTCAGGTTAATGGCTTACTAAATCACTCATTTGCAGACGATTGCATTGTTGTCTTT